ACAAAAAAGGCAATGATATTATGTTAAGTTCTCTGAACCTTTTACCTTTCTATTAAAAAAATAAAGAAAGGGCAGTGATACATTTGCACAAAATTGTCATCCCTAAATACCATTAAAGCTTTCATATGTTACTCAAATAACCACCTCCATCAACCTTTTATTAGTAAGATGGGCTTGAAATATTTTCATGTGAATCATGTAATACCTTATAAAATTTTTAAATACCCAAATTTCCTATCAAGGTTTTTTAGAGTTTATGTTTTTCTTATATGGCATGATGCCAAAAGAACTTCCACCAACGCCGTGGATTTTGATGAATACCACTTGATTGGTTATCACTTTTATGATACCAATTGATTGATTATAAGTTTGTAATGGCGTAAGAAGTAGGATCGAGACCATCTAGTTATATCTTGTTTAAATCCAGAAGACCTTGTCAATGGGGGCTTCTTCAATGCTTAGTCACACCTACTCCTTCACACGTACATCAATTTTTCGAGGTCAAAGTTTTTTGAACTCACAAGTCAAGATAGGGCATTGACTCAAGCAATTTTCCACCATGGGGATTCGGTGCAAATGTGAAGTGGTTGAAGTAAAAGATTAGCTCGCAGACCTTCTAAAGATACTTCGCCATGGTCAACTCTCAAGTTTTGTACTCCCCATCAATTTTAGTTTACAACGAATAGAGAGTCGCTAAAGGCATTCAATCGACCTACTCCCATCTCATTGGCCAAGGAATGAAATGCTTGCCATCACCTGTTAGCAATCGAGTTACTTCCTCTTCATCCTTGTGAAAGCCTACCACAACAACTTCTTCAACATTGAGATCTTTTTATTTCCACTGTAGGGCATCACTGGAATGACCTGAACTTTCTCCTACCTCAATAATCTGTATCTCCAAAAGTGGTTTGTTGGCATATAATATGCCCAACTTTCTGTTGATCTCTTTCATCCTTCTTCCTAGCTTGCGGAGAATGACAATACACTCTAAGGGATAGCTGATATACCTGAGGTAGATGTTCTTATAACGTCATTGCTTTTCTTCTAGCTAGGAGGAGCAAGTCTATAACATCCTCAGCCTCGTCAACCATGTCTCTCATCTAGCTCACCCATTCTTCCATTAGTGTGCTACTTTGGTGTTTCTTATTAGAATCCTTGAGAAAGGTTCGGAATTGATTATGGAGTGATCTACTTTGTTGTTTCACTCCAAGGAGGAGATTAACTTCATCAAATAACAACGAGCTCAATTTCTCCAACAAACCTATTAGATGTTGGCAAGTTGGCTATTAACAAGTTGATTGTTGACTGGCTGCCTCACACCTTGGACCTGGGGGGGCAAGGTCTTGGACCATCTTCATGAGCTAGTTGAACTACTCATGCATCATTATGGTTTGCTGGAGTGGTTGCTCAGAGGAGCAAAGGCATTTTGCAACCTTTGTGATTATCTTGGTGTTTGGTGTCCCTTGTTTTGTTCATCATGAATTCAAAGATGGTGTCAATTGCTACTTCTGGAATTTTCAACAAGGGAATAATTAGAAAGACTCGTAGATACTAATAACTTGCAACCATAAAATACGTTGAAGTCTTCGAAATTTGATATAGCCAAAACCGACCGCTAGTTAGAAACCGCCAAGTGGCAGCAAGTTGGGAGCAAAGTTGTCAATTGACAAGCTGACTTGGTCCTAACGAGCTACGAGCTGAGCTGGTTGTGATGAGCTACGAGCTGATCTAGTCGTGACGAGCTACAAGCTGACCTGGTCTTGACGAGCTAATCTGACACCAACTCATAACATGCACAAGCAACACGTGGTTGAGCTGATTAGAACATCAATGCCAGCACACTCCATGCATGCCCACTCCCTACCACATGCACACAACATGTCAACAAAGGGCTCGACAAGTGGATTGAGCTCCGACCATTTGTGAGAGACGTGTCGATTCTTGGATGAAGCCCCTCTCCTATAAATAGGTGAGTATTCCATTCATTTGGATACAACTGAACATGGTAGTACGCTACTATGAACAAGGCACGCCAGACACCTAGCACATGGAGCTCTCAAGCTCCCCCTATGAGTTCTTCAGCTCATCACATGAAGCTCTCCAGCTCACCCTACGAGCTCTTCAGTTCATCACGTCGAGCTCACCAGCTCCCCCTACGAGCTCTTTTAGCTCATTGCATATAACTCTCCAGTTCTCCTCACGAGCTCTCCAGCTCTCCTCACAAGCTCTCCAGCTCACTTTGTTTTCCCTTGGTGATTATTGACTTAACCGTCGGAATTCACGCCCCTGAGATCACCCAGTACCTCTGACATCTCTTATGGTTGCAAGTCTCTCTTAATAGTTGAGGTGACACCTGGCTTTAGCAACTTTTCATCCTTGCCCTTATAGTCAATTTTGATCCTCATCAAAACTCTTTCCCTAGGTGGAGTCTTCAACACTCAGGCTATGCAGCACGGTGTGTATATACGTGTGCGTGTGTGTGAGAGAGATCATGAGCTCATAGAAAGAGCAAGATAGAATGTATGAGGTGTGTTGGTGTGTCATACAAAAGGATGGGTGTTTATTTATAGAGGAGCTTCGGTCGAGGGAGTAATTGGCACATGTCCATTGCTGAGATGATTGCCATAACTCTCCCATTTCCTTGGTTGTTGGCTCCACCATTAATGCATGGCCATTACAGACCTTGCACGCCTTGGTTGGTACATTGGTAAAATCTCCATTTTGCCCTTGATGTAAGCCACGTGGCACCTTCTGGGCTAGTCATTGTTATTTAGACATATTAGACCCTAAAAGCGGAAAAAAATGGTAGATATTACATGTACCATCATTGTCCTTTATAAAATTTAAATTATAACCTTACAATTTCAGGCTATATTTGGTTTTATGGAAAATAAGAGATAATTAGATATTTGTGTGAGTTTTCTAAAGTAATGTTGTGAAATTTCTTAAAAACTTTTCTCAACTTTCTTTTTTTCTTATCTTTTTAAAGGAACTTGGAATTCCTACAAGCAAAACCTCAACATCCAGCTGTACATTGTGAATATCTCCTATATATATATTTTAAATTTATAGGGAGATGTTTCCAATGTGTAATTAGGGCTAGCAATATTTGACACTAACATGTGAATACAACTCAAACACAAACACGGAGTTGGGGGGGTTGAGTTTACCTTAATTTTTAGTTTAACAGGATTAATAAATGTGTCAATTTCAGCTTGACCCATTTAACTTGAAAATGATTTGTTTATGACCCGTAGTTTCAAGTATTAGATTATATACGCATATTATAGTAGATAGGTATGACATTTAATGGTTTTTATGAATTTGTTTAAGAAACAAATGTGTATCCATTTATTGGTTAATTTAAACAAATTAATCGTGTTGATGTCATGTTAATTCGAGTTATACATGTCATTTAGTAAAGGATTAAATAGGTTAATCGTATTAATTTGGGTTACACGGATCGACCCATATATTAAAATACTCATTCCCCCATGCGATGCAAAAACGACACAATAACACAAATTGCCACCCCTATGTGCAACTTGATTCTCATGCTTTCAAAATGTGTGTTGAGTTGTGTTTGTGTTTAGGAAACTAGAAATACCGTTGCTTTTGATAAACCAAATATAGCCTTAACATTGCATATGAAATCTAGAATGTTGGGTACTTGGTTAGTGACGTTAATTTTCTCTGTCCCCGTTGGATACTTGGCTTCCCCGACTCCATTAGATCATGGGTGGAGATTGTTTTGATCGGGATGGGGGCAAGGTGAGGATCGATAGAGAGGGAGACGGGGATAGGGAGTAAATTCCTTGTCTCGCCCTAACCCTGATTATATATTAAATATATACATATATAATATTATTTATATTATTTGTGATATTATTTATATCAAAATATATTTAAAATATTTGTATATTTTAAAAATCTTCCTAATTTTTAAATAAATTTATTTTTATAAATAAGTTTAGTTTAAAAATTTTAGGGATTTGGTTTTCTGATAGAAAACTCGTACCCATTGGGGATTGTGGTTGAGGATTTGTTTCAAGATTGGGGTTGGAAACAAGAATATGATCCCCACCCCATTGTCATTCTTAACTCACTCGATTATGTGTCACTACAAGGAGTATTCATTGTATGATTCAATCTGCAAAACCAAATTGAATTTGCAGTTTGGTTTGATTTATACTTAAAAATTGTTTGATTCGGTTTTACATTTTTTAAGGGGGTGTTCTGTAGTGTGAATGAAAAATTGGTGGGTGTGGACTGGTCCACACCACACCCTGTGGTAGGGACCAATGTACACCACACCACAATCCACAGCTGTTCTGAACTGTGGACAAACTATGTGGGCTAAACCAGTCCACACCCATAGTGGCATTCTGTAGTATGGTGTAGACCAATTCAGACCACACTTTTTTTATTCTATGTATCTCATGTACATTTTATGAATGATATACACAGTTAATCATCAATGAATTAATATTAATTTTTTTTTATAAAATAATAGTAAAATAATTATAAAATTATAAAATATATATTAAATATTTAAAAAATATTATTTCATTGATAAAAACATTAAAAAAATATAAAAATTAAGTAAATAGATAACACCAAAGAGAACCCAAAGCAAACAGATAACAGCAAGCACAAGCGGTGAAGGTTCTTATCCAACTCCACCAAACAAATAACAACAGTATTATTAGAGAGGAGTTAAAACAAGAAGGTTTCTAGTTCTTGTTTGCTACAATATAAAGTGAAAAGAAATCATCTTGGACAGTAACCTTCAATGAAAATTTTCTTCGTAAATAAAATAAAAAAACTTTAATTGCAGGATCAAAACAAATGGTATAGGCGTGAAGCCTCTAACATCTATATATGTATATAATTCAGTTAATTATAATATTATAATATTAAAATACAAGGGTAAATAGGCTCAAAACCATGTAAAATATTTGAATATTAATGCTTAGAACTACTACCAAGTTTAATTGCTACTACCGGCAAGCAAAGCAGTAAGGGAAGGAATAAGAGTGAGAGTGAGAACAGTTTGATTTTGATTTGATCATTGATGATCCACCCCCTATTAATCACTGCATGTTTCATATATATACATGGCTGACATTGATCTTCGTCTTCCCCCCAGCAGTCAATCTTTTTCTGTAAATAGTATTGTAAACGTACAGTATTATACACCAAAGAGAAACCAAAGCAAACAGATCGAGTCTCAATCGTACAGTACTGTATACCAAAGCGGAACCAAACCAAACCCACTGTTCTTCTTCTTATTATTATTATCGTATTTTGTTTTCGATCTAAACCAAACCCACTGTTATTGTTTATCAATAGAAATCAAACCCACATAAATGTTTTTTTGCAGCAAAAGGATTTTTGAAAGCTGAGCTAACATTCATTTCTATGCGAAACAGAGAGAAACAATATTGTTTGACAATTTGAAGAATGACCAGTTGTTGTGGTTTATGGTTTCAGTTTAGTTTATTAGATTTTACAAATCAAACCAAGCCAAATCATAAACTGTAAACCATAATTTTTATAACATATATATATATATATATATATATATAAACAAAGTGTATAAGATTATAAATATATAATAAATTCTTTAATTTTATAAAATAATAGCAACATACAAGTTTTAACTTTTAACTTTTGAGGACTGTTATTTTAGCCTTCTAATTGGATTAACTCCAATAGAATGACCAAAAATTATAAAGCTGCATTGGGAACCGCACCAAATCATAATAAAGTGGTTTGGTATGGTTGATTTCCATGCCAAAATGGTTAATTTGGTCTAGAAATTTCTAAAACCATAGTTTACTAGTTTGATGTAAGCACTCTAAACACCCCTCGAGAGGAATTTGGATTAGCTGAATGCTTTGTTTGTTCAGTGAACTAATGATGAGGTTTCACGTCAGTAATAAATTTATGGGCCCACTATGAAAGGTGTGGGCCTCATGTATTTTTATTATGGGATAAGTAGACTGCACTCCACCTCAGAATTTTGAATTCTATTGCAAATCTACAACAATACAAAATTTCAAACACCTCCACCCTAAACATCAATACGTGTATTGGCATCAATTGCGAGCTGGCACCTACCCCAACTATACGGTGGAGATAAGAATTCTGAGGGTGGACTGAATAGTAAAAACCCTTATATTATTGGCGTGGAACCTTATCATTGGTTTCTAGACATGTTCATGGGTCGGGTGGCCCGACGGGCCGGCCCGGCCCGGCCCCCGGACGGGCTTGAACAGGCTTTTTGGTCTGCGGGCTTAACCTCGGGCCAAAAAGCCTAGCCCGCATAAAATTCGAGCCAGGCTCGAGCTTTGCCAAAATAGCCCGGCCCGAGCCCAAGCCGGCCTGACCTATAGTTAAACCTAAGTAAAAACCTTATGTGATGTCCATTCGAATAAATTTTTTGATTTAAGAAGGTTGTTGATTCACTTGTAGGCCCATTGTTCATTTAAATAGGGGAAAAAACATTTGAATTAAAATAGATAATGTTCATTTGAATAGGGAAAAATTCGAAATTCTTTTATTAGGTCGGGCTTCGGGCTTTTATCAGGGTCGGGCTCGGGCCCAAGTTGTAGGCCCGTTGGTCGGACCGGGCTCGGGCTCGGGCCTAACATTTTTTTGTTAATAAAGAGTAAAAGCCCGGCCCATGAACAGGTATATTGGTTTCATAGCCTGCTAAACAACCAAAGAGTTCAGCTAAACCTTGTTCGCTACGGACGTCAAACGGTGTAGTGGTGTACGTGCTTAATTTTTAAAGTTAAACTTGCCTTTGAGTTCTGAATCATGTTAGTCAGGAAATCTGTCCCCTCACCAACTTGCGCTCCAAAAGTCTCACAGCCTTAGAATTGGTCGTGTGTCCTCCCACACGTATGCACTTCATTCTTGTGTGGAGCTAACGGGATGAAAACAAGTTTCACTTCCCTCTTTCCCGCTCATACTCGATCTCTCATTCTCATGCCCTCTAAAACTCAGTTCTTCCCACCTCTTCCCTCGCATGAGGTTGCCGAGAAATCTGATGAACGATCATTCCGACAGATAAACCAAAGGTACGTACTCTTCGTCCCTCTTATCTCATCTACTCTTGAATATGTTCCTCTAAATTTTTTTAACATTATTTTTTTTGCAATGAAAAAACGCAAAACGGGAAGAATCACTAACAGATACAGGTATCAGCTTTTTCTAAGACAATGTGTTTGGGTTATGGTTGAGCTGGCTACGGGTGCCACATGGCAGCCTCTGTGGCCGCCTTATCCCTTTAGCCAGGTCGACACCACGTAGGATGGATAAGCACGACCAAGGAGAGTCCTGCACAAACACGGAAGACAACTCCACCAGGGATGCGGACTTATCTCAAAGACCTTAGCACGTAACTTCATCTCGACAACCCCGGAAACCTCATATGAGTTGGACACGGATCTTCGGCTATAAATAGGTAACCTCCGCTCAGGGTAAGGGACTTTTAACTCTTCATACTACTACTTTGTCTCTTCACCTCGAACCAGCATTATTCTCAACTGCTCGGCTCGACCACCTACCTTTCATACCACTGACTTGAGCGTCAAAGTATCTACCTAGGGAACAACTCCTCGGAACTCTGATCCTTTTTTTTGATTTCAGATCTTGGTGTGCAGTTTTGTCCTTCCACCTCGGTTTCACCAATTGGTAGGACTATCTGACTGCGATCTTGATTCGAGACACCTTGGATCGAATAGCATCAGATTGGCGTCATCTGTGGGAAGCGTACGAAAATCCATTCCTAAATCTCTTTTCGCACAATCAAGAACCATGCCAAGAAACGCATCCGACCACTCTGGAGCTCAATCCCCATTTTGGGGATCTCGTTCCCACCGCAGTTCTCCACCTTGGAAGCCCCAGCAGCAAGCCACAGTCGACCCCACACAGTTCCAGGCAATGCGGTAGAAGGTTGACCAGATTCTTCCAATGATAGAAACGCCGGGATAGCCAACACAGGCCCCCTAGACCGTTCCCCCTTTCACACAGGCGCTTACTACGGTTGATCCTCGCTCCAAGGACCCCAAAAAGCGTCACCCAAAAAGGCATAGGGTTCGGTCTGACCAAGAAAGACAACAGTTGTCAAGAAGACTAGACTCTCCAGTACGGCCCCACGCACGTGACGACCACAACAAATTGCACCGTTCCACCTGGGTTCTGACGAAAGAACGGCTTGGTCAACATTTACCACAACACTTGATCTCGATCACCGAATCCGGTTCAGTCAGAGACTGGCCTACTGCAATACCGAAGGGAGAAAGGTTCTTAGGCGCGGCCCTAGCCAATAGAGACTCCGAGATCAAAGAACTAAAAGAGCACCTGGCTGAACTAGAACGCAGCCAAGCGGACAGAAGCACGGCTCCTCCAACGGCCCGGCCTGTAGAACACCACAACCAGTTAGCAAAGGAACTGGTCTTCGTCCAAGAGATTGTAGATGAACTCCCACCAACTGGTATGCGACCTCCACAGTTCGAGAAGTACGGCAGAGCCTCAAACCTCAACGACCACGTCAAAGGGTTCAAGGCTGTAATGATGCTGCACGGCTCATCCGAGGGGTTGATGTGTAAGGCTTTTGTCGCCACCCTCCATGGAGTCACCAAGACATGGTATGCTTCCCTTCCTCCGCGGTCCATATTTTCTTGGGAACAACTAGAGACCCAGTTCTTGGCGTAGTTCATGGCCAGCCAAAGACATTGGAAGACTTTGGCTAGTCTCATGCAGGTGCAACAGAGGAAGGGGGAAACCCTAAGAGAGTACTTGGCGAGATTCAACGTCGAGGCCCTACAAGTCCAAGCTTTGGACCAGTCTATTGCGGTGACAGCCATCATGAGCGGCCTACAATCTTTCGCATTCAGCTTTTCCTTGTAGAAGAACCCTCCTTCCAACCTAACGGCGCTCATGAAGCATGCACAAAAATACATGAACGTTGAGGAAACCCAGGCACTGTAGATGAGTGAGAAAGAGCAGCACGACCGAAAGAGGAGAAATCATGATGAGCACAAGCCGGACTGAGATAGTAAGAGACAGGACCGATGATCTGATTGAAGCTCAATGAACCCGCCTCTGACATACAAAAACTTCACTCCTCTAGACACACCTCGGTCTGAGATACTAATGCAGATCCATGCCTGCAGCTTCGTCAGATGGCTCGAGAAGATGAAGTCACAAAATAACAAAAGAAGTTGAGACAAATACTGCGACTTCCATTGAGACCACCACCACGAGACGGAGAATTGCCGCGATCTGCGTCACCACCTCGAAGACCTCGTCAAGCGTGAGTACCTCGACGGGTTCGTGGACATTAAAGAGCATAAGCCGAAGGAGGAACCACGTCGGCCCGACAGACCTCCAGCCCGAGCTTCCCATGCAAGAGTCATTGCGGTAATCTCACGTGGAATGGCCTCTGGGGGGAAGAGTAGCTTGGCTCACAAGGCATATGCACACCTACACCAAGTCGAAGATTCGATCACCTTCACCGAAGATGGCCTCGGGGGGGGGGGGGGGGGTTCAAAACCCTGCATGACGACACCCTTGTGATAACCGTTGAAGTGGCAAACTTCAAAGTCCGGCGCATCTTAGTGGACACAGGAAGCTCTGCTGACATCCTCTTCGAAGAAACCTTTGAACAGCTCGACATCAGTAGGAACCGTCTCACTCCGGTCAACACCCCTCTAGTGGGCTTCTCCGGGGACTCTCTCATGTCCCACATTACCGATGTCTAATTACACTCTTAAAAAGACCAAGGTTGTATAATGCATGTTATGTACAAATGACAAATCGAAGACCTAAAAATGGACTGCCAAAAAGGGTCGGAAAGGCTCAGGAGAAATGGATAGTGAACTGAAGAGATAAGACAAAACCTTTCCAAACAATTGGATGGTGAAGATGGGCTAGAATTTCCTAGGACACAAATTTCTGCAAGTATACATGAAGATGTTCCATCTTGACAACCGCCACCACTATTTTGTACTTCTGCATGAATTGGCATTGGCTCAACACCACCATACTGGTTTGGTGAACATATTTCAGCTTGAGGTTTTTCTGTTTTATCACCTTTTGCATGGGCTGGACAGTTGACCATAAACCAATCATCAGTTGAATGCTTGTGACCATTATACCTGTTTCAATCTAAAACCAACATATTTATTACCTCATAGAAGGCTCATTTCCCAAGTTACTACTCTTAAGGTCCTCTAGTAAGTCCTTGAAATCTTCAAGTAGAAAATCCATTTAAGAGATTTTGTGCGTGCAAATCACCTTTTTTGTTTGGATTTGAGAAATCTTGGAGTTCCCGACTATTAAATTTGAAGCTTGACATTAAAAGATATGCTAATAGCTTTGAATTATCTATAATGAAAATTTAAGAAAGTAAGTTTATTCTCACCTTCCAAGTATTTTCAAGACTCTGGTTGGTGTTCTCTGTATTAACTTTTAGTGCAAGTGAGCTGAATAGTTCTTAGTCTTTTCAAGAAACGCCGGCAGATACATTGTGTTGATAATCTGAATATGAAGTTATATATTGTAAGCATATGATAAAAACGGTACGGGCTTTTTCATTGCAAACTAGGCAACTACCCAACTGAAAAAATTCAGTTGTGAAATATAAAGAGAGAGAAAACTGCACCTGTACCTGCCGCGATTGTTCCCTTCTGCATTTTTTCCATTGCAAAAAAAAAGTTAAAAAAAAAAAACTCAGAGAAAGAGATTCAAGAGTATATGGGATGAGAGGGACAGACATTGCGTACCTCCGGTGTATCTACCGGAGCGATCGTCTGTCGGATTTCTTGGCAGTCTCAGGCGAGAGAGAAGGTGGGGGCGGCTTGAGGGCAAAGGGAGTGAGAGGCTGAGTATGAGCGAGAAAGAGGGAAGTGAAACTCGTTTTTGGGTGAAAATGTAAAATGGGAGTTACCAAAATGAGGCGCATGCGTGTGGGAGGACACGCGGCCGCGCAAGCTGGTGGGGGCAGATTCGAACTCACCAAATACGAGATCTGGAGTCTGGAGATCATCCGGTTTTGGTTGAACCCCTTACCTTGCTACCTCTCGCGAAGAAAGTTTATCTTTAGTAGTGTTTGTCTTAGAGGGTCTGAATGTAATTTGCCGTTGGTTCGCACTTCGCAGGCGATCATCTCGTAATCTCAAGCCCTTGGAAGTTGGAACTGATCTCTCGCACTTGTACCCTTTGGGAAAAAGAGATGGCGGGAACCATAGAAAGATACCAGAAATTAGGGCTTAAAGAATCTCTAAATCGAATATACGATTATCCATTGGCCTGCAACGAGCTCAGCTTCATATTGAGAGGAGCTTACAGCAAGGTCTCCAAGAATCTCCAGGCCCTCATGTTTGAGGGCACCCTCGCTGCGTTCCGCCGTCTTCCCGAGTGAGTACTTTCCAAGTTTCCATTGTAATTCGCTCTTTCTTTTCCTTTTGTATCTGAATTATCTCCGCGTACTGTCTGAAGTTTTGCTTATATGGAAATTTATTTATTCTCTGTGTTTTTTTTTTCCTCTTTGCTACTCGGAGGTTTCTGCAATCAAGTCTTTACTCCTTTTTTTTTTTCATTTTTTCATGTTATCTTCAGAGCTTTAATTTTGAATAATTGGCTCATAGTTCATTGCGACATTCCTATGAAGGAAAATAAGGGACAAATAGCTTAAATGTTTCAGTTTTATTTTTGCCCCACTCGCGCCCCTTTTACATCTAAACAAATGCTTTTGTTAAAATATTGAACCTTATTCGACTTTCCGTGAGATTTTGAGAGAAAATGGGGATAAGTTGATCATTATCAAAGGGGAATATAAATGGAATAATATGTTAACATTGTATACAATCTGCAGTACTAAAGGATTATCCTGATAAATATGAATTTGATTTCTAGTGCTCCTTTTGGAGAGATTTCACATTGCTGCTTTTGGCTTTGCAAGGTGGGGTCGGTCCAGAAAGCCTATAATTAATGTTTGGTGAAAATTTTGGAAAATCCCAAATTAACTATTGTCCAACCACTTGCATGGCTTTCCATTGAAGCTTCTTTTAGTGGCTTACTGGCTTCTTCAAAGCAGATGAGCTCAAGAAACTCAACCAAAGCTTAAGTCTTCCTAAATGAGGCCTTAGTCCTTATAAGATTATTGCTAAGTTGTTAACTGGAAGACTTAAAAGCATCTCATGGTGTCAGGTAAGGCAATCCACTCTCTTCCTTCTTGTTTGTACTAGTTGTTGAGGTGCTGCGTTTCATGTTATTTAGAGAGGAGCAGTTAGGAGTTATTTAAGGCTTGGGTATTGGAGAGTATGGACATATCATTTCTCATCTACAATATGACGATAAGGTTTGTCAGGGTTGAAGGTAATTCTGATTTCTGAATAAGAGGTTGATGATTGGAGTAGGAAATATTGATGGAACATTTTCATGAAGAATGTTCTTAAGTGTTGGGGTGTCAAGTAGAACATGCATTTGCATGTGACATGAGGAGATTAGGGATGGCAATTTCCCCCGTAAAACCGGGGCCCCATCCCGCCCCGCCCCAAACGGGGCAGGTTTTCCCTGGCCCTAAACAAGGACGGGGCGGGGGTGAGGAAAATAAATTTTCCCCGAACCGGGTACGGGGCGGGGACTGGTTTTGTATATAATTCCCCGAACCCGAAGGTAAATTAGTAAAATATCTCTAGGTTTAATATTGATATTTAAAATATCTCTAAGTCTTTCCTAAATTTTTAAAATCCTAGGATCCCATAATTTTGTTTTTGAGTTACCCCTAAAGTATTATAATTCAATTCTAAAATACCCCCAAATTCCTATATCCTATGTATAAATTGTCCATAAAATAGATAATCTTTAAGTAATTGCCTTGGAACGGGGAAAATTTGAGAATTCCCCGTCCCCGATGGGGAATGGATGCCCCGCCACCGGGGACGGGGCAAGGTATCATGATTTCAGGGCGGGGACGGGGAGGGGGTGCCCCGCCCCAAACCCGCCCCATTGCCATTCCTAGAGGAGATAGAGAGAGGAAAAGAGAGATGAGTGGCGAGAGAGGAAAGTAAATGGTCATTTAGTAAAGATATTTGGGATTCTTAATTGGATCCAAAGCTTTGGCTATCTCTACTTGCCTACTTGGTTTGATGGTGGAGAGATTAAAAAAAGATTGGTTACATGTAAGTGTAGATATCTATCCTAGGGTGGTAGAATTACATACTCATCAAGTGTGCTTTGGCTTGTCTTCCCATTTATTTTATCTTTATCTTAGAAGTTCTAGCAAAAATAGATCCAAAGAGATTTTTTGTGGAGTTAATGTGGTAAGTAGAAAAAAAATCATTTGATGAGATGGGTGAAGGCTGTAGAGCAAAGAAGAATGTTGGTTTGGGTATTTAAAGAACTAGGGAGCTTCATAAGGCCTTTTAGGGTAAATAGTTGCGGAGATTTGGCAAGGACAGGGCCTTTATGGAAGATGGTGCCTGGTGGTAAGTACAGGTTGGCTAGGTTTGACTGCAATACTAGGGAGGTATATTCTTTGTATGGAGTTTTTTGTTCTTTTTTTCTTTTTTTGGAAAGGTAGAGTTAAATTTAATTCTGAATTCTTAGGGGATTCCAAGTTTTTGGTGGGGGACAGGAGTAAGGTGAGATTTTGGGAAGATGAGTGGTGTGGGGATAAGTGTCAATGTGATATTTGTCAAAGGATGTATAGCTTAATTACTAATGATATCACTGTTGGTCAATTTTTTGAAAAAAGAGAACAGATTGTATGGTGTCAGGTTTCAGAACACATTGTTGGATGGAGAGTTGGAGTGTTCTCACTAGGCTGGAAACTTTTAATTGGTAATGATGATGATGTTTTATTAAATGAATAAAATAATGAGTTATATACAAAGAGCAACAATGGTCAAGCTCTCAAATAGGGGCTGACAATCCCCCCCAACCCATTCTTTGACCATTACATTAGATTTTATCCCAGAACTCTTCCCTAGTTGCCCCTTGTTTTGCACTTTTGCTAATGAGCCAGTGAAGCCATTATCTGATCTATACACCAACTTAATGATCATTTGCAATTCCTTGTTCAAGCACTTAAATCCTTTTATTGTATTGCTAAACTCCCATGGCCCTTGGTTTATCATTTACAATGTTTTCCATGGCAATAAGATGATTCTTCTTGCTATTGAAGATCAAGCCACATTCTTTAGAAATATCAGAGAAGATAATGAATATTATCTTCCATGAGGACTTCCTCATTGTGTGCCTTCTCATTGAAAAATCTATCATTTCGTTCCTCCCAGATTGACCGCATCATTGCTGCCCTAATACACCTTCGCATCATTCTTCCTCTCTTTTTTGACAGGTTGAGGAAAGATGACTGGAACAAACTCCTAAAAGGAGAAGAGAACCGCACCCATATGCTAGATACAAGTGGACAGGAAATTAATAAGTGATAGATAGACTTTTCACTAGCATAACAAAGAGTACACACAAGTGGAGATAAATACCAATTGGGCCTCCTCTTTTGAAGGATAGCACAAGTGTTGATCTTCCCATGGAACACCTCCCAAGAGAACGCTCTAATTTTAGGCAGCTTTGATCCACTTCCCAAGAGAACGCTCTAATTTTAGGCAGCTTTGATCCACTCCAGATTTCTTTCACTGTGAAAGTTTGAGGTAAGGGATGGTCAAGGGATAGGGCCTGAAAGAAAGAAGCACAATGAACAAACCTAAATTTTCTGCACTCCACATACAACAGTTAGTGTTATTTGGTTCAAGGAAAACCCCCTTAAAGAGAATCAAGTGAGTTTAATGCAATAGAGGTTTTGAAATCCCTTGACCCCCCTCATGAAACCAAAATTCCAAAAGATACCTTGAGATGTGATAGAAATGTGTGATGAAATTTGTTCCTTTTTATAAGATGAAATAGCAAACAGATTAGGAAATCAACTTTTAGGGGGCACTCCCCCACCAAGCATCATAAATAAATTGCAAGAAAAGGTGATGTTGGAGCCAATCCAGCATCCCAACCACCAGCTAGTTTCCTGTGAATAGTAGTCACTAGGCTGGAGATAATAAACAATGATTTAGCATTCCAGATTCAAGATGGTGCAAACTTCAAAGAATGTGAGGATGGAAAATTTACAATCAAATCCTTTTATGAAGAAATATCCAGAAATCAATTGGAAGATTTGAATATTAAAGGAGTATGAGGTAATATACAATACCACCAAAAGTGGGGCCTCTGCTTGTTGCTAGCTAGATGGTTTTGTAATTTCTGACCATTTAAAAGCAAGAGAGTTCCAGTTTCCAAGCATTTGTGTCATGTCGAAAGAGCTAGATGAAAATGCATTTGTTTATTCACCATAGCTATTTTGTTTTTACTTGCAACTCTTTTTTCAAGACTTTCAATATTAGAAGTCAATTCTAAGTAATCTATTGGAGATACAGACTATGGTCAACCATGGTGCTGGTTATTGGGAGCGATTGATTTGTAATAATGTTACTTTCTTTGTGTTGATCTATGCTATGTTTGTGTGGTGAAATCTTTTCACTAATGCATTGTAATCTTTTTTCTGTTAATGAAATTTGTATATTACTATCAAAAAAACGATAAAATACTAAATAATTGAACCATCAGAATCTCTATGATGCCTCTTCTTGCATGAAAAAAAAGTTCCTTATGCCTGTGTATTACCTCAAAACAACAGATAATGTCTCATTTTTCTTGTTCAATCATAGCACATGTGCTATTTCTATACCTTGTATATGGATAGGTTTTACCCAGATCCTTTTCAAACTCATTTTCTCTTAATACAAGTTTTTTTTTTTCTTTTTATGTTTCAAAAATATACAAAACAAATGATGGGTCTAAATCTTGGCTTATGTACAACATGAATGTAATTGGTTGGACTGCTCTAAGTTGCATCCTTCTTCCATCCTAACCTAATTATTTGATATTCATAGGTTTCATTGACTTGTGGATACTTTGCTGCAACACTGCAGGGTGCAAACAAGGCAAGCAGTTTCAGCGGCTAACCTCCTACTCCAAGCAGCAGAGGTGGCATTGCCCAAGCAGAAGAAAGTGCTGGCTGTCGCAGAGTTTAAGCATGCGGTGGTTGCACATAAAAGACGTTCTAAATCCCGGCAAGATGAAGAAGGTGATGATTTGCATACATTGAAAGGAGGCACCCCCTCCATTGACAGTGGGCCTGTCCTTTTTACCGGCAATTACTTCAAACTTTACTTTTATGAACAATCAAACTGAGGGAACATTTATTGGTTAGAGCATGATTGTGTGTCCTCACTCACCATTCAATCTATCTCTCGTGGTTTGTTGATCAATGTATTTATGAATCAAAGAACCCAAGGAAAAGAAAACTTTATTTAGGAAGCTCTTCAACTTGAGATACCTTGATTTGTGAAATATTATATAATTCTTCAGCCATCTAAATAAAGTAGCTTTCAGGTCTTAACCTGGTGATTCTACAGTATACTTTTGGCATAATGTATCAGACACAAAAACTGCAATTGGATCAGCAGAATTGAGGGGCTAATTAGAGGTGCAACTTGTGCGGGCCCAAACTGAGTCTGGACTGGCCCCACCCAAAGATTTACATAGGATGGGCTTGGGCTTTTGTCCTTGGGTGAGGGGTGAGCCTCAAGCATTGGGCTTTTCCATTTCTTGGGTTGGGCCTGGATAACCCAAGCCTGGACTAATTATAGGCCAAACCTGGGGCCAAGTCCCAGTTTACCAACCCAAAAGTTAAACTGAGTTTAATCCAACACAACTAGGCCCAAGCTTGACCAAGGATGGGCAAGTTGGTTGGGTTTCAAAGGTTTTCAGAATGTATTTTGTACATCTAGCTTTTCTTAGGTTTTATAGATCAACAGTAGAATAAATTAAAAACATGCACAGATGCCATTTGTAAATTAGGGGTGAGCAAAAAAAACAAAAAATCGGTTAACTGAACCGATCGGTATACATATATTTCTATATATTTTATATATATTTATGTATATTATATTATATATATATTTTATGTATTATAAATTAATAAATATGCATTATATATAAATATATATATTTATAATATATGATATTTATTATTTAAAGTATAATATTTTATATATATTTTTATAATATATATTGTAAAAATTAAAAAACCAAAAAACCGACGAACCGAACCGGTCAACCAGTTAACCGATTGGCTTCGGTTCGGGTTCGGTTTCGGTTACCGGTTTTCCAAAAACCAGTAGTGCCGATTCGGCTAACCGAACTGTGAGCACCCCTATTGTAAATGTACACATGCATGCATATAGTTGGAAAATTATATTTATTTATAAATAGCCAGCATAATATGTGTGTAATTGTACATATTTGTGCATGGATGTAAGCTTAGGTTAATCATATGCATACCATAAATAAGTAATTATACTCCATGGTGCATATGGTATAAAATATATGTACATATCTACAAATTCCCCTTCCAAGAACATCCTAAGAAAATGCACCAATTCTGTAATCATAATTCAGACTCTGGATAATTCTCCAAGCCACAGCCCTTTAATGGTTTCTCCTCCACCAAATTAACTTTTATCTAACTACGTTGTGTTGCATGTGTTATAACTTACATTATTCTAGAAGGGATGAATTCATTTGTTTCGAAGTGTAACCCCTAATGATTTCATATTCAGGTACAGCACAATTGCCCCAGGACGTGCTTGTCCATATTTTTAGTTTCTTAGACATGCGCTCTCTAGTTGCTGTGGGTTTAGTGTGCTGGTAAGTTGTCTTTCTTCTGTATACATTAAAATCTACGATCATTCCTAACCACGTAAAGCCATATGGGTTTATGGATGTGGAAAAACACCAAGCCAGCCAAGTCATTCATCTGAACTGTCTAATTGTCAAGCACCTCTTGCATATGCAAAGGGTGTATCACCCAGCAGATAATAACCCACATATAGAATGTTGAGGGTTGAAACAGGATTCATGTAGCCAATCCCATATAGCTGGAAGGCTTGGATGATGATGATGATAATGATATAAAAGTTGAGGATCAATTTAATGGAAACCAAAAGATTTTAAAGGTGATGGAAAATGCAGAGAATGATGGATTGGTCACTCCAATTGATATGATCTCTTTATGCTCCATACAAGAGAGGTCCATTCAATGACCAAACCTGGATCTGTGCATTTGTGACCATGCATATTCTATGCAACATTGATAAAAAATCTATGATGCAAGGGCTTAGCAATATGTCAAAGTTCCTAGCACCATTACTGACTTGCCATTAGTGCTTATTTTTGTTTCTGGTTTATTTACTTTTTATCTCACCTTAAAAGGTCATGGAGTTTGGCAGCAAGCGATAACAGATTGTGGCATTCACAATATGTTCTTTACTTTGGAAATTCCAATGGTTGTTCTGAAACTAAGGAGCACATTGCTAAACCAGTCCAGGAGAAGGGAGATACAATCCTGCATCAGAAGAAAAGCGCTGATCCATTGACTATTCTTGACTGGAAAGAGGCTTTTAAAGGAGCATATATAGGTATGCTGATCAAGTGTAAGAGATGTATGGCGTGGCTGGCTTTATATTGTGCAACTCGGTTCACCATGTACCACCTGTGGACATGTTTTTGTTAACAATTTAATCATATGATACAGCTAGAATGGATTAATGTAGCAGTTGTTCAATATGAAACCACCTAACAATATATTGTTCAATGAAAGATCCACATCTTTTCTACTTTGCATGTCATGCACGGACCAACTGATGGTGCTCTTCTAGTCTTGGAATCAATGCTAGTGAACAATCTTATAGTAAAGATCTAGTTGGTTTCATTCTACTGACAACAAACTAAGGCTCCATTTGGCATTCTTTATTTTAAGGACTTATCTCCTTTTTGCAGTTAGAAACTCAGTGTTCATAGGGGCATTTTAACTGCAAAAAGATAAGTCCTTAAAATAAGGAATACCAAATGCAACCTAAAAGCTAAAACATCTCCAAAGTAGAATGATATTCATTGTATGTGAACCTATAGACTTTTGCTGTTTTCCCCCTTTACTAGAAGAGCTGATGCACTGACTCTAGCCAAGGGCCCAGGGGTTGGAAGACCAAGTCTTATATGGAAAGAGCATTGTTAACAGGTGTAATATATGTACTGTTCACAGACTTAGTACCCACAAGGGTATTTTTGTAATTCTGTAGACATATTGTTATGTACGGCCAGAATAGTATAAATGCAAAGCTTCACTCGACTGAAGCTAAGTTTGTGAGGCCTTAACTCTGTAGCCTCTTCTTCTTCTTCTTCTTCTTCTCCTTCTCCTGCTCAACAAGCATCATACTCTGGGGCTGGAAAGCAAATAAAATTGTATATCTACATTCTTTTTTATGTGTGTGTCACAGTGATTTAAAAGGCGCGCCTAGGGACACAAGCGAGGCGCATTTTAGTTTAGGTGCCTCGCCCAGATCCTAGGCGTAGCACTTTCAAAAGGCGCACCAGGCGTGTGTCTTAGCCCAGGCATGCGCCTTTTGAAAATTTTATGCTTTTTTAGCTTTTTTTGAACCTAGTGGTTGTACTGGGGGCTTCGCCTCGAGCCCCTGACCAAGCCCCTCGAGGCAAACCCTAACATGGACTTGTTTAGGTTTGCCACGAGGGGTGTGGCACAAAGGTGGCTTGTGGAATCAGGAATGTAATATGTTTTACATCACATTAGCTACTTGAAGTAATGCAAT